TACATATATGTATATGTACATCTACATGTACCTGTATACGTGCATGTATTTTGTGTATGTATTATGTGTATGTATGTACGTACCCCACGTGTGTGTGTATACATACATACATATATATATATATATGTATGTATATATATATTTATTTTTTATTTTATACACATACACATGTCAAAGAGAGGGAGAGGGAGGGAGGGAGGGAGGGAGGGAGGGAGAGAGAGAGAGAGAGAGAGAGACAGAGACAGAGACTGCCTCGAAGGGGATCTTATTACTAACCGAGTGCCTCAGAGTCCGACTGTTGTAGAAAGGGTACCTTGTGTAGGGGCCTGTCACTGAGATCGACGGCTGTCTGAGGCCGGGAGTTGCAGGGGGGGGGGGGTTGTCTTTAGGCCTTTACGACTCAGCTCAGCCCTATGAGGTTTGGAGATGTAGGGTGAAGGATACCCATAGGCCCCTAAGTAGTTCCTTTTTGTGGTTTATATTTGGAATCCTACAAGGTAATTTTCCAAAAGGAACTACTTAGGGGCCTATGGGTAGAGATTAGGGTATTGGCCGGATGGTCAGAATGAGACCTACGGCATCGAGGATGATTACGATCGTGAATAGCGTGCTGTTGAGGAATATGGTTGTGATGGTCAACCTCGTCATCGCCATCGTCGTCATCATCATCGTCATCATATTCTTCTGCACCTTCGCCCCTGATCAACACCATCTTCCACTCCGTCATTCCTCCACCCTCCCCTTGCTCGTAGTGTTTAGGCTTCAACCCCCTCGGTAACAAGCCGAACTAATTCGACAGCCTATTCAAGCCTTGAATACTAAGCTCTTACACCCTTACGCCGCCAAATTCCAAAACGTGCACCCATTGCGAAAGTTCACCCCTTGTTCAGGATGAAACTGTCAAGCAAGGTGGCAAAGCTCGGTGACATCCTCATTTCAACCCCAAGCAAACCCTCTTTTCTCTTGAACCGTTGCGGTATTAATTTCAACCCAAAGCCCTGAACCCCAGAAACTTTATAAGGCCTTAACCCTATACCCTAAATCTTAAACCCCAAACTCTAAACCCTAAGCACTACATTAACTCTATTAGGCCTAAATCCAAAACCCTAAACGGCCCTAAATCCTAAGCCCTAGGCACTACATTACAGGGCTTCGGAGTCTGAAGGAAGCCGCGGGACCAAGGCAGCCGCGAGGTCGCTTTTGGACTCGGGATGAGCCATGGCGGAAGCGACGCAAAAGGCTTCGTTTTTTATTTTTTAGGGTTACGGTTTAGGGCTTAGGGTTTAGAGTTTAGGGTTTAGGGCTTAGGGCTTAGGGTTTAGGGTATTAGGGCTTCGGGCTTGTATGGATTAGGCTTTGGGGCTTAGGGGTTTGGTAAGGGTTCCGTAAGGGGGCTAGAATATGATGTCGTGAGGGTTCTGCATGGATCCTTCAAAATCTAAATATAGGGTCCCTTGTTAGGTCCCCAATATAGTACGGCACCCGTATAATCGAAAACTACCCACAGGGTTTTTTTCTGGTCTTTTTAAAGCTGCATACCGGCTCTGATTCCGAGCGGGTTTCGCGGTTCAGGGTTTGAGACCTCGCATCTCTTCGTTTCTAGTCTGTCCGGCTTGCTTTAAGGGTCCCTTTAAATCATTTCGTTCAGGGCGTGGTCCGGCTAATGTTGCATTCAAGCTTCGGGCGAGAAGCCGAATTTTGGGCCTCGTGGCTGAGGCTTCGGGGCTTGGGTGAAGAGTCACTTAGGGTGTAGGGCCACTGCGTTGGGGTCTCAACTGTTGAACTCAAACGCCAGGGGACCAAACTGCACACAGTCTGAGGATACTCTCAGCCTAAGATAAAGGATCGCTTCAGGCTTGTATAGGGTCGCTGAAAAGCCTCCAGGTTCCCAGTTCCTATACACCGCCTACATTTATCCTGAAGTATCTCCAGCGGACGAACTTAAAGCCTAAACTTTGAGCTCAAGGTATGTGCGATATAGGTATTGCTATACGTACCTCTTAGGGAAGCCTTCTGTGCAGGTTTAGTGTTTGAGGCTTGAAGTCGCAGGCTGGGCCTCCCTGTGAGGGTCGTAGATGTACCTTCACAGGCCGAATTCCCCAAGTCCAGGAATCATTTGACCATATGTTGCATTGGGGGTCCGCCTATAACCCTAAGGGTCCATGTGCCCAAATAGTAGATACTTTGGCCTTAAAGTAGTCCCTATTCGGGTACTTTGGGGCCAAAGTATCTACTACTTGGGTACATGGACCCTTAGGGTAATGTCAAAAGGCTAAGGGGGATCCGATGGGCTGAGGGGTATTGAAGAGGCAGCCATGGACAGAAGGGGAAGTCCACCTTTTCCTCCGCACTGGAACAACCCTTCGGGCCACTGAGACGCACGGTGTTCAAGCGCATGCTACGAAACGAACAAAGAGAGCTCCTAGCGCTGGTGTAAGATCTATGGGGATCTGCCGTCCGAAGCTTTTTGGGGTTTGGTTTCACGGGTGTTGGCCGCTGTATTGGCTGATCCACCTTACCGATGTTTGCAGAGATGAGAAGGCATACTTACTCTGAAAATGGAACCAGAATCTACGACCAGAGAACAATCCTCTGGGTGCAGCAAGCAATCCGGTCAAGGGCCTTTGACTTTGACCATCCGCAAGTTCAGCTGGGCAACGGCGGGGGTCACAGGGGACCTGATGAGCCCCTAAAGTCTGGTTTAGGTTTGTGCCACCTCCGGCTGTTTCTTCTTGTTGCCAGCTGGGTGAGACTCTTTGAACGCTCGGAAATGGCCCCCTCCGATGGGCAACTGTGGGGGTTTGGGGCTTAGGGTTAGGGCTTAGGGTCTAGAGTCTAGAACCCTAAACCCTAAACCCTGACCCCAAAACCTAAAACCTAAACCCTAAACTTGAGTCTAGAGTTTAAGGGTTTCGGGCCAAGGCTGGTCTGTGGGTTTGGGGTTCGAGGTGGCGGGATTGGCTGTAGGCCACATGTAACCGCATGTGCCCATGGCAGGCTTTGCTGCGGTCTTTCTGGGGGGGGGGGGGGGATTTTTCAATTTTCAACCCTAAACCCTAGACCCAAAGCCCTAAACCCTAAACCCTAATAAGCCCTAAATCCTAAACCCTAAGCGTCTAAAGGGTCTTCAAAGGACAAGGTGTGGGGGTACAGGGAGCAACCATGCAACCCAGAATCCTGGCCCCTGCAAAAGCCCATGATTTTCCGTCGCCAAAGACCCAGAGCGTCCTGAAACCATCTGAACCCAAATAAAACGTCAGACTCCTTTACTCCCGCCTGAAAGGGCTTAAGCTTCAGCGGTTTGGGTCGAGGGCTATAATTACCCATAGGTCCCTAAGTAGTTCCTTTTTGGGATTACCTTATAGGGTTCTAAATATAAACCATAAAAAGGAACTGCTTAGGGGCCTATGGGTAGCCCATCATGAGCTAAGGAATCAACCCGAGCAGCCGATTCTCACTTCGCGAGGGCTGGCAGGGCGTGAAACGGAAGCATATACGTACCCAGAGGCTCCACGGCCCCTGTCCAGAAGGATTTCTTACATAAGGGCTATATATATTCTCCTTAAAGGAGCCCTTAGCAGCCTGAGCAGATTCCGAGTTGCATCTGCGTTGACCTAGGAGCCTGTGGGAACGTGGTGTCAGCCACCTCTGGAACAGGAACCACAAGAAATCCCACCCCTTGCCTAGAGCGTCTGCATTCCTCTTTGGAGGGTCGACATTTTTTTTTTTGTTGGGGGGGGGTGGGGGGTGGGGCGGGGCGGTGTTTGAGGTTTGGGACTTGCCGGTAATTAAATGAAAAGAGTCGTACCGCTGGTGCTTCAGTGCTGCTGTTACAGCTCCTGTTGGTGTGAGTCGGTGTTCGTGCCATTCTGTTGCTGCGACTAGTCTAGTTGGCTCAGTGGCCCTAGCAACGCCGGAATCAAAAAACAAGCCTGCAACTTATTGATAGCCTACTCCATATTCAAAGGCAACATACACTCACGAGTCAGGTTGGGTGAGCTGTGTCCATAGCCCCATCCGGCCTTGGACTAGCACACTAAGCTACTGCAGCGATCCATTTGACAGCAAGAGCTTCAACCGATAACATCATTGGTGGGGTTGACGCCATAAGGGCCTGCCTAAGACAGGCAGGCACCTGCATTAGCCGGCTCATGTTCGCAGAGGGGGCCCTAGGTCAACGAGAACAGTCACGAAAACGAAAGGTAACACGTAGAAGCCGGCACATGACCCAATACAGGAGCAAAAGCGGCAATGCCAATGGTAGCAAAAAACTGTCATGCCAGTAGTGACACTACGAAAAATGGTTAATGGCTGTGGAGGAATGACACGCCACATTGAGATAGCAAAGCAGTACAACCTGAAACCGCTGAACCCTGAACGCAAGAGACAGCGACGGCAGAAAGGAGTCCTGTGTAGCCTTCATGAGAGTCACAGGCTCAGGATGCAGGCCCAGCATGAACCAAAGACGAACGCGACATAACTGCAACCACCATGCACAAACTTGACTCTTAAACCCTACACCCTAAACCCTAAACCCCCAACACTCTCCCCCGTAACCGTAAGGGCCGCACTATGCCCGGAGGTTCCTAAACCCCGAACCCTGAAGCCTCACAAAGCTCGTACAAGCGACTCTACGGATCAGAAACAAGATTTTATCATACTTACTGTTGCGATGACTATCAATGTTGGAGTTGCTAGTGTATGATGCTAACTAATCGTCATTATTACTCCTTCTTCTCTTGTTGCCCAGGAACAATTGGTGTACCCTGAGCCCCCTCTGCCGGAATCTATGTGCCACTGCAATGGGGCTGGACACCCGGACTTCTGCTCAGCGCCTGAGCACGAGGACACAAAGAGCCACACGCTCTCCTTCTCTATCTCGCCCTCTCTCCCTGTCTCCTTCTCTCTCTCTCTCTCTCTCTCTCTCTCTCTCTCTCTCTCTCTGCGTACGGACTTGAGTCCTCCTGGTTTTGTGGCGGGGATTCGCAGCACATCCGAATAAGTACGACTTCAAAAAGACTGAGTGTGGACTTGGAAAGAAGAACAGTTCATTTCAACACGATGAAAATGCACACAGGATATTGCTCATGTTTCGTTTACAAGTCTACTATATCTTGACACCCAAACAATACACTTAACTTCGCCAAACAACTAACAAGTTCTGCAATCACAAGGCACGAAGATTCGTTGTGCGCAGTCAACACTCCTGCTGAAGACTTCAGCATGTAGGAAGCAACGATGAAACAAGGGAACAAGCAAACGAGTTTCGCCAGCTGTAGCATGGACCAGGCGTTTTCCTTATCCAGCTAACCTTATCATCAGCAAATTCGTTTACCCGAGATTGCAAGTTGTTTTCAGGAAACCTCAAAGGGCATCCCCCTGTATGTTAAATGCTCTTCCTGTTGCGAAGGGCCATGCATGGTCAGTCCTGCATATCCCGATGCATCACTGTCCGAATGCTCCAGCAACGGATATGTGCTGCAAAAGAAGCATCGACAGCGCAGTAATCTTGAGATCTATTGAATGGTAATATAGAGGCCTGAATAATCAGTGATGCTTTTCCTTAAGTTTCCTCTTCAACTCATAATATACTGCACACCACGACCCTGTCCAAACTATTCACGCTGCCACATCATGTTGCTTCAGTTCTACATTCTACATGCCGACCTCGCTCTCTCACCTAACAAGGCCCTCCAAAGACCCAGACCCGCAACCCCAATACCCGAAACCTGTACCAACCCTTCTATACTCCAAAAAACCGCAAACACTTGAGCCAATCATCTCCCCAAGCCGTAAACCCCTAAAAATGCCCTAAACCCTGAGGCCTAAACCTCATCCTGCCCCTAAACCCCAAACCTGAACCCGAAACGCCGACACTCGTTAACTTTGAGCCCTAAACCCTAACCCTGAACTCGACAGACCTACATCCCCCTTTGGGAGCCGGGCTCAATGTCGCGGAAGTCTCTCTTCTCAGCCGATGCCTTCAAGTAACACAACAGCCGCGAAAGGGTTTGGGGCTTTCGGGGTGTAGTGTTCCTTTGGGTTCAGGGTTCAAGAAACCATATTATGTACTATAGGTCCCTATTATGGTAACTGAAATATAGAAATCTCTAAGCCCTATGGAGTGGGGCGGGTTCAGGGTTCTAGGAATCTTGGGCTCCCTCCATGCCCATGCCTCAAAGCGCAGCACCCTACGATACGCCAGACCACAAATCCTGAACTCGAAACGAAATGACATGGCTTCCTCATGATGATAACGTGAAATTAGATTCCTTCTTCAAAACCACCTGAACCCCTAACCTCCTAGGTCCTAAAACCCCTAAGCTTTAGACCTTCCGAAGTTCCCGAATGCACCAAAATCTTCCCAGGTTTTCGCCGGCGCGGAATCCCAAGGCCTCGTTGCCGATGCTGTCGGTGGACACCTCAGGTGCAAGGTTGGGCATTCAGCGGTCTGGGGCTTTTTATGGAGAGTTCTCTAAACTAGGGTCCCTTTTAGGGTCCTTGGTGGGGTTCCTGATCAATAAGGGTTTGTATATAAGGGCTTGTTCTATAAGGGTAGTTCTCCAAACTAGGGTCCCTTTTAAGTTCCTTTTTGTAAGGGTGCCGTACTAGACTTGGGATCTAAACGATCGGGTCCCTTCCAAGCTATTTTTTGTAAGGGTGCTGTATATACTACGTACTAGACTTGGGATCTAAAAAGGGGACTCTGATTTAGAAAACTACCCACATGCTGGGATCGGCTGCAATCTTCAGGCATATGCAGGGGTCATTTGCCCCGAAACACTAGAGCCGAAGCCCTGAGCCGTACATAATCCGATACCCTTCTTTAGGGTTTAGGGGTTTAGGGTTTAGGGTTTAGGGTTTATCCACGGAGCAGAAGTCCGTCTAAGCGGAAGAGATAGCAGCCCACCGCGCTCAGGCACCCTCAATCTTCATGCTTGCATGCCAAGTCGTGTGCGGACTCCTACCACCCCTGGGCCTGCCCTTATCGCAGCAAGAGCTGAACCTGCCCTTCTTTAAAAGACTACCGGCAAGCCCAGTTGGGTTGAAATTTTGGAATCATTTTCCAGCTGGATTCTGGAGCCCGGCAGGCCACTTTTTGACCAGGGCTGTTGCTCTGGTCTCGACTTTCCGTTCTGGGCCCTAAACCCTGAGCCGGAATCTACAACCAACAAGCCCGGACCAGCACGCACCCCCAACCCCGCGAAGCTGTGAAGTTTGGATCATCTGGTCTAGGCCTTTGGTTTACGGTATGCTTTCAACAGTCCTCATACAACTACAGCAGTACACTCACGACGAGACTCTAAATATCCAAGCCACTGATATACCTTCAATGATCTGTGTGCGTCTAGGGATGAGAGTCACCTAAAATGCCGCACGGCTGCCGTTGAATCTCATCTTCCAGAGGCCGTAAACCAGAAACCGTCAAGCACCAGTTCTTAAGCTCTGGACCCCTACCTGGACCCCAAAGAACCTACCTGTTTAGGGTTCCTTATTATGATTTCCTTCTATAAGTCCTTTAAAAAGGTAGGTTCTTTGGGGCTAAGGTAAACCCCGAAATCCGAAAGCCCCGAAGACGCTCGCCCGACTCTCCCCTGAAAGCTGAGAAAGCGTGCCGACCGCTTCAGCTTCGGCATCACGCTGCCCGCTGTCGGCATGGAGTTTCCTATAGAGTCGGAGTGTAGGGTTTGGACACTTTTGGTCGCAAGCTGACTGGACAATTCATGCACCCGAGACCTAAAGTTAATGGATGGATGGAGGGAAGGGGCAGGCCTAGTAACCCCGAGATATCCCTGAAACCGCAGCTATACCGTGCAGTTGTCCCTCCCTTCCTTGCTTAGTATAAGGGTTCTCAGAAGGGCATGAGAGTTCACACTTTCGAGCTGCAGAATGCAAGTTTCAAGGTCTGCCGATGACAGCTTAAAGTTCAGGGTTGCAGGTTGTAGGGTTTATCCACCCTAACCCCCTAACCCCCAAACCCTATAAGCCCTGAACCCTCAACCCTATAACCCCCCCTAAACCCTAAACCCTAAACTGAGCTGAAACCCCTATTCCTCTAAGCCCGGACCCTCCAACCCCGAGCCTGGGGCTTCCAAAGGCCGATGCTTGTACTTAGCACGAGAGCCGACTTCGGCGAGGGGGTCTGACCCCCCGGACCCTCAAACTGTCCTTCGCATAATCCGAAGCTCAAGTAGGGCTTCCGGCAAAGCGTTCCAGGTTGAGGGTCCCAGGGGTGTATAGTTCAGGCGCACACCGACAAATCTCGACGTCAATTCCGCCCACAGACCACAATAAGCCCTGAAACCTACCTTGATCTTGGATGGGTTGCTTCGGGCCTGAGGACTATGCGCCAGAGTTTACGGATCAAAGGAGGTTTGTGGGATAGGGCATAACGATTGGGAGTGCTGATACGAGGATGTCCGTACCGACCATGGACCTCTGACCCTGAAGGTCGTCAAACTGGAGATTGCCAGTCCTTTCACCGTGGTTCTGCTGGAAGTCAATCCCAGGTTGCTTGGATTCACGTCCAGGTCCTGTCTTGTCTTTCAGGGCGTGCAGGAATTATACACTGCTATACAAGGGTTTAGCGTGTGTGCAGGCTGTATGGGGTTTGGGATGTTCTATCTCCGTAAACCCTAATGTAGGGGCCTTAAGAATTAGAATCGGGTTTTAGGGTATATTCTACTAGAATTATAACAAGGAACTCCCAAAATAGTATTGGTAATTATTTAGGCCTCTATATTAAGCCCTCAGGACATCCCGTCTCGGGGTTTAGGTTTTCTGAACTGAATTTGGGCCGGTGCTTCTGGCGAGATGTGAATCTTCTGGCAGCCTCCAGCTCGACAAACCCAAAGGTAGAGAAGTCATATACTAAATTGTTCAGCAACCCACTGGGAAAGTGTGTATACAGATTTGGGCTAGTTCATAACTAGGAACAAATACCCCAACCGTATTACGAAGTTTTCCGACCCCGTACTGGTGGGATGAATGCAGCCTTTGTCCCGCCGGACCTACGCACTGGACTACTAAGTGACTACTACATTCCGAACCCGAAATCTGCTTATCTAAACTTAAACCCTAAGCAATATGTTCTGAGTTCTGAGCCCTAGCAGTGCCCGCCAAATTTCAGACTGATATAAAGTTGGAAATTAACACCGCAATCTCAAATTTAGTGCTGTAAACCACCAGGGACTTTTAACTTTCCCTTCTGGTCCAAACCAATAAACACTTAGGGAGACCTTACATTACAGTCCATGCTCAGTAAAGTATTGAGGAGGAGTGCACTTCGTTCGACCGCTGATTCAGTAAGCGCAGAGTATATCCTTCTGATAATCAATTCTGATATTGGTGTCTCCGGTTAGGAGAAGTGGAGCTCACCCCAGACGACATCACTGCGCAGTTTCCACTGTACATGCACCTTAGCACCAGTATAGGGTTGCTACTACGGTGATGATTAGGATGTGTGAACTTCGACTGTGCAAAGATCAGATGAGTTAAGCTTTATATGCCCTAGAGCCACAAGCAGAAAGAGAGCATAAAGCCATCGTCTACGGTGTAGGGCTTCATTGTTTTTTGCAAAGTCTTTACGGTTTAGGGCTTTAGGGTGTAGGGGGCTGGAGCTTCTCCTGCGCCGTCTGGAGGGCAAGCTGCTCGATTCGGCCCAGATCTTTCAGCATGAACCTGGCGACCGGAGTTTCCACTCCAAGACATCGGTTTAGGGTTCAGGGGTTTAGGATTTAGGGGTTTAGGGTTTAGGGTTTAGGGGTTTAGGGCTAAGGATTTCTTTGGTCTTTGTTGCCTCATGCTCTTGAACCCAAATAACGTCCCCATGCAGCCGCTGCAACCAGCCTACAGTGAGCGGCCGGTATCAGTATTGGGGTCACTGGTTTAGCTCCCCGGAGGGCAGAGTTTCTTTTGACCGCAGGGTTTGGGATTTCTCCTGGTGCATTGGGGCTAAGGCCCGAGGGTCTTTCGGGTTCAGCAGGGTTGAGGGCCATTTGCACTGAACGCAAGTTCCTGGATCAATCGAGCAACAAGGCTTTAGAAGTGCAGCTGTAACAATGCTGTAGCTTTACAGAGGATTCTAAACAACCGCTGCTCCTAAGTACGCAAACTCCCATATGAAGGTCCTGCGCAAACCAGCAACTCCAAACACTGGACTCCCTCGACAACATCGTGCTGCACGCTGCCCGACATGAACTTCAAGCATTCCGCAGATTCATAGCTCAGCACGACTAGCCATGTTCAACCCTAAACCCTAAGCCTGAAACCCTGAACACAAAACATTAAACCGAAATCAAAAGTCCCGTAGGCTCACTCCTTCGCATGAGAGTTCTTCAGGTGCATGATTCGGCCGGTTGCAAGCACAGTAAAGCGAGCCAACCTAGAAGAAAGCCGATGAGCCGATAAAACTCGACACAGGTCCACGACGTTGTAGGCATTGATAAGCACAGTTCCGGTCTAGGGCTCGAAAACTCTTGGATTACGAGTTTTCGAGTAGAGACAACAGATTTCCTCACATGAATTGAGGAGATTCCCAGCTAAAGGAAGATCTCTCAAGCGACAGTACTAAACAGCCCGTAAGGTATCCCTGGCTGAAAGATGGGGTCTCTGGGTCATGAATGCACGGAACGGATGACCCCCCGCACGTTTAGGGAGTTGGGGTTTACAGCTTTTTACATCTAATTTTGGCTGTTTTACTTCAGGTTGAAAGACAGAGCTTCATTTCACCAGTGATGCTTCTAATACTCCTGGCAGTCAAGCATGGCCGGCGGACTGCACATCCCGGTATGCCTGGCACGAGAGCAAGCTGTACAGGGCTTGGGGCGTAGGTTTCAGGGCTTCGTGGACAGGGGTTTTTTCTGGCCAAGACATACGTGACTTGCTGGCAATCCATATACATTTTGTAAGCTGCAACCTAAGGAAGTCTTAGTGGCTGTACTCGAACTCGCCCACCTGCACGAGCCGCGAGTGTGTCGCATGGAGCTCCTCGTCTTCGACATCCTCCGGTGCTTCTTCCTGGAAACTCAGAGTCTTGAAACAGATCATGCACCAAAGGAACCTCAAAGCACCCTCAACTATGAGGTGTTGACAAGATCCGGGGCACTCACTACCCGTTGCAACTGAGACTGTGCCGGGAAACGCGTCCTCAAATCAGATCTCACACAACTCATACCAACACACAGCACGTAAATAAATAAATAAAGAGGTAATCCACAATCGAAACATAGCAACACACCAAGCAAACAAAAAAGCCGCCACTGCGTGCCTTTCTGCATATAACCTCTAGACACTAACTGTCAACGTCTAGCCCTTTAAGCCCTATAAAGCCATGTCCACTAATGTCAAGTTTGTGCTGCTTGCCGGGCACGCCTTTCTTCGAGTTACCCTGATTTCGGCAAAATCTCGAATAGAGAAAGAGCACCGCGACCACCATGACGACCATGATGACCACGACCACGAGGACCACCACGACGACCACTACAACGACCACGACAACCAGGAGAGCACCAGGAGACACTAGAAGACTTCGAGGAGACCCCATGAGACCACCCAGAGAGCAGCAAGAGACCCTAAAGAACTACCAGGACAGCAGCAAAGTGCTTTTCCCACAGTACTGGCACATTCAGAACCACGCCCGAACGCTTTCCTCCAAGTACTGGCGAGATTCCTTTCTCCCTGATCTCCTTTCCCCTGAGTCCTGCTGTGATTCAATGTTGCCGATAGCAACAAGTAGTCCCCGAACTGCTCTCTGGCTGGTTCCCCCGCACGGATTCGCTGCAAATAATACGACGGCTCCGAAAAGCATGCGACGGCCCGACGCCGAACGGGGCATATGTAATGTCGGACGCTGATTTGCACCGTATCCGGTAAATCATGGAAATTTGTTCGCGCAGGCCGAGGCACGGAATCACGGAATTCATCGCTGAGACAACTCGAAAGGCAGAGTTACAGAGCAAATTTTGTTTGGTTGTGAGATCCTTTGTGCAACCAGGTTGGGTCAGGATGGGTATATAATTCCACAAAGCTTGACCTTGATGTGTCGTATGGCAGGTAATCCCTGACAGGTCGGCAGAGAGTTCTTATCATCGAGGGTTTAAGGTTAGGATTTAGGGCTCGAGTTTGTAGGGTGCGCACACACGATTTAAGCTGGTTGTTTCTAGCATTCTCAAAAGGACACAGCGAAAGCTGCACCCAACGATGCTCCAAAGGCTACCGACAATGACAGTGATAACCACATAGAATGTAATGATAATAATTAACCACAATAATGACAATACTGGTAATACAAGCACTTACAAACATAACCGACTAACTAACTAACTAACTAACTAACTAACTAACTGACTAACTGACTGACTGACTGACTGACTGACTGACTAACTAACTGACAAACTAACCTTCAATAAATAAATGATTAAAACAAAAACTAAATAAACAAATAAATAAACACCACAGCCCAAAAACAAAGGAATCCCCCAAACCCTCTGACTACTGCAGACCCCACACCTGTGCGCACGCACCCTGCAGAAGCCTCAACTAAACCCCAAAATTAAATCCGAAAGCCCAAACCGTTAAATTATCGCTACCCGAAACCCTAAACCCCCTAACTCAAGCCCAAACAGATAGCTCTAACCCTGGCAACTTCGCCTCGGTAGCTTCAGCCTCACCTGCGAGAGCAGATCGTCTCACCTGCATCGGCGCATCCGCTTCTCCTACTGTTGATGATATAAGTCTGCATTACATTGAGGACACTAAACTATGGAAGTTAGGATATATTACTTATTATGGGTAATGCAGGAATTACATCATCAACCGTAGTGCTCTTTTGGAGATGAAAAAGCGTACCACGGAATCAATTGTTGTTCGGGCTTGGGGTTTAGAAGCTTTAGGCATCCCTTTTACATATATGCTTGGCCACAGGATTCCTTGTATGCTGCCAGTTAAAAGCGAGAGCACTGCATGAGCTTCTTCTTAACAAATAGGGTGTGCGGAGTTCAACTCTACTGGGGCTGAGGGAATTAAGCCCGGGGGGGTTTAGGTAATCAGATATTAAGGGGCTTTGGGAATAAGCTTTCGGGCACTTTAGGGCCAGGGCTTTACAAAATGAGTTTTAGGGGTTTCAGAGCAAGCACCCCTCTGACTCTCTCCCAAGCATCTACTCCCGAACCTCGGCCAGGGACTGGTCCAGGAAGACCCGCTCCAGGAGTCCCAAGCGGCGGTCCTCCGATTGGAGGGTCCGGAGTAATGCTCGGGCTTCGGATTTCGAGTTTAGGATGGTGTAGGACCCTAAACCGTAGGTCCTTCAGTGATGGGAGGGTGGAGGGCTCGAGGCTCTCGTGGTGCGGAAAGGGGGCTTGTCCGGGGGAGATATGGGGCTGTATGAGGTGCACTCGGGCTGTCGTGGTATTTACGGTTTTACGGATTCGGGCCTGCTTGGGTCTTGGGTTGAGGACAGTTGGGTTTAGCTTCTTGGCCGTTTTGGCCGCTTCGGGGACCATGACCACGACTGAAGCCCATCTTGCCAAGACTTGTGCCGATGTCAGCTGTGACTGATCGGTTTAAGAGGCTTGCGCCAAGTCTAGAGATGATTAAGTTATGATTTAACTTAAACCCTTGGGCCTTGGGGTACAAACGGTCGAGATCGGGTTTAAGCTTTGGCGGTTGTTCAGAGTTTGCAAGCCCGGGAGCTTGTAAAAGGCTGTTCCTGTACTCTGTTGGGGCAGCGAATGCGCATGAGTTGGGGGTTTGCCCGCCTGAACAGAACCGCTCCTTCTGTGAGTTTGCTGCACAACTAGAGTTGTTTTGAAGGTACGTGGTTGTTATGACTCGCTATTACGAAAAGACACTAACTAGAAGAGGGCAGAATGATTTAGTTCAGATCCGATGTAGGTTTGCCTGGAGGAACGACGAAGGAACGAGCTCGGGTTGCTCGAAGACCCGAACCCGAACTCCTAAACATAGGGCCTCAGTATCTTGAGTAGGGCTTGGGGCGTATCTTGTGTTCGAAGTATACTATAACATAGGGCACCTTCGGGAAGAGTACCTTCGAGTATCCACGCCTCCTAAAATTCACTAAAGATGTTGATGGCAGGAGAAATGCCAGCAGGCAGTCTTGCCGCGAGCATTCGCAAAACGGAACATGCTTGAGGACAGGTCTGAGGTGAATCAGAGGTTGAGGTTCCACGCCCATGATTCAAACCCTAAACCCTAAACCCTAACCCTAAACCCTAACCCATACATGATGCTTAACCCAAAACTGAGCAAACCGCTGCGGCCCTGAAGGCCGAAGCACCAACTCCCTGAAGAACTGAAAACCCCGGGGCTGGTCTACAGGGCTCCTACGGCTGATGATAGAAATCCTGTGCATTACCCATAATAATTCATAAGGAGCATACCATAATTCCCATGGTTTAGGAACCTTAAGGTAATGCAGGATTTCTATCATCAGCAGTATTCTTGTTAGGCTGATAAAAAGGTAGGTTATGGCATGGTGGTGCATGGTTGTATAAGCCGAGACCAAAACCCGGAACTGCAGTGGGTTTAGGGTTTTGAAATACTTAACCTAAACACGAAATCCTTGTCGAAGATTTTGACGAGCGTGTCAAGCTGGACAGGCTCGTTGGTGGAACAGGCGGCGCAGAACTCTTGGCAGGTAACCTGAGTGGCAGCTGCAACGAAGTATGCCACAAGATTTAGGGGTTTAGGGTTTAGGGCTGAGGCTGCCTATGGGCCCCTGAAAATCAAATCTCATTCAGCAATGAGGAAGCCCGGCCTTAGCAGAATCAGGTCTCACGCACTTCGTGCGAAGAAGGACAACGGTACGAGCAGCGCCGGGATCACAGGGATCCCTGTTGCCTTAAACCCAACCAGCAGCCAAACTAAACTACTGTGACAAAAAAACATAATGTAGAAGCCTTATAATAATTGCAGTAGGGTTTTTGGGTACGTTATACTATAATTATAACAAGGAACCTCCCCAAAAAAGTATTTGTAATTATAGGGCCCCTACATTACGCAAGACCCAGGGCCCGGACAACATCGGTGCTCGGTGCGTTCTCCTTCTGGAACGCTTTCAGACCTGAGTGCTGCTCGTAGGCTAGAGCTCACTGGGAGGGGCACGAGACTGGTCGTCTAGATCTATATACGTCGTACCACTTTAGCATAGACCGCCTAGAGAGTCACCACAGCTTGAAAGTTCACTTGCCGATCAACTCCCTACTCTACAAAACCTTCTTCAGTCCTAGGCAGAAAATTTTAAGTGCACCGTAACCTCAAATGCTGCATCCCGCAAACCTCTCACTTGCCTGAGGTTGGAACACTAAATCCACACAAAGAGATCTCGAATGCTGAGATTTCGACTCAGTTCTGTGCTTTGCTCCCTGAGCCCCTTCGCCTATGCAGGGCCCCAAACCTTGCCTAATGTCCGAAGACTTAGGGTCTTTTGTGGGCAATGCCTAAGGAAACAGCAAGGACATCACCTCGAATGATGGTGGCTTTTTAGGTTCCTCTTAACCCTAAACCCCAAACCCGAACACCTAAATCCTAAACCCCAAAATCCTAAAGCCCTAAACCCCTAAACCCTAAACATAAAAGAAACCTAAACCCCAAACCCTCCAAGACTCCGGCTGTTGAAGATGACATGGCTGATACGTTCGATCGATGCTTCCTCTACCTCCAAAAAGGGGCTCCAAGGGTGGGATGAAGGTAGGTGGGGGTACTCCGAAATAAGAGTCTTCACAATCTATAACCTAGGGGCTGAGTACCTCAGCCCAACAAAGGTTAACCTTCTGAATTATAATGGGTTCATATAAGCCCCCAAAAAGGCTGAAGGTTACCTACTCAGCCCCTAAGTTGTCTACTCGGACGTATAGTTCCTTAATCCTGCCTACCTTCATCCCATCTCTTGAGGCCCTTGGACCAACGTGAATCTGCAACGGCTCGAAAGCCGGTCTCGAAGCTTTCGACGGGTCTTAAACCCAGTCTCCCCAACGAGTTCGATTATGGGTTTTGAGAGGTTCAGAAGTGCAGTCATGCCTTTATCAAGCCTGCTGGGCGAAGGTGCGATTTCTACACCGGGACAGTGCCGATTTGTAAGCCTGGAGGCTCTTCGTTGCCCAAAGCCACACAATCTGAAAGTCTTCCGCCAATTCAGAGTGAGCGCAATATCGGATAATCGAGGAGTGGTCTTTCTAATCCAAACTAATAAACGGATGCGGGGGTCTGTATAAGAAAGAATGGGGCATCCGAGCCGGAGGTTTGCGGCTGCTTGCGGCACCGGGTGAAGTCGGAACACCTTCTCTTGAGAATATGGTTTTTTGGGGGGCATAGCATATTATACTATAACTACAATAAGGAACCCCCAAAGTAAAATCGGCAATTATTTAGGCACCTGCATTACACCTATGTGTAAACCCACGAAACTGTAGGGTCCCGGGTTAGGGGGGTCCTAGACACCTCCAAAGTTCGTCTTTAGGATTCAGGACACCTTCGGGTAAGGGCTTCAGGCCTCTAGTACTTTAGGGTTTAGGGATTCATTAAGGGTTTAAGCCTTGTTTTAAGGGTGCATCGGCCTTTCACCATCCGCGCGGCAAGCCTCCTCATAGAGGGTTTAGGCTTTAGGGTTTAGGGTTTCATTTTCTTTAACGTAGTATTTCTTCATGGCCGAAAAGCCTCCATGTTCTCGCAAATCTTGCCGAGCCTGGCGGCGCAGGCTTCAGCGTCCAGGGCTTGTCTAGGGTTACGGAGAAGGCTTTATGGTCTGAAAGGGAAGCTCAGCTACACCCTAAAACCCTAAACCCCTAAACCCTAAACCCCAAACTGTCGGTCTGTTGGTGGTTTTGGCCCGAATTGACTTTCTGAGTGAGTTTGGAGGGGCTTCCGGCTGCTAACCCCTCGACCGAGCCCTACACTGCTACGGTTGATGATATATAAGCCCTGCATAACCTTAAGGACCCTAAACTATGGGAATTATGCTATATTCCTTATTATTATCATTATTGCAATTATTATTATTATTGTTACTATTATTATTGCCATTATTATGGGTAATGCAGGATTTAGATCATCAGCCGTTGTAGATCCTTCGAGCTTTGTTGAAGGCCGGAGCCCACTGCACCCCAAACCTGAGCCCAGACTCATCAAACCGCAGCTCGACGAACAGAAGGGGGCTTAACAAGAATTTCAATAGAGTTCTGGGCTGACGGAATTTCAATAGAGTTCTGGGCTGACAGAAGGGGCTTTACAAGAATTGCAACGGAGTTCTGGGGTACCTTTTTGGCGCAATTGCATAGGAACTAATCTCCACGACCCGAAAGCTGCCAGCAGGCGTGGCCCTGCCTCTCTGCGACGGCTTTCCTAGGCTTGACACTTGCCGCTTTGGGGCCAAAGTTTCGAGTTGCAAGATATCGGGTCTGGCGGTTCAGGCTGCTTTGTGGTCTTATCATAGCTTGTCGTATGCAGTATGTTGGATGGTTTTTGTGGTGTGTATCTGCGCGGGTCGGGTGCACCCTTTCAAAACCAAACCTCAGAGACCGGTTCCAAATTTCTCTGGGGCATCTCGGCCGAGGGCTGTTTGGACATGCGCCCTTCCGTTTGGAAAGCACTTGTCCGTCCAAGCGAACCCGAAACATCGATGTGTATGTACATGTACATGTACAAGTATACATATACATATGTATGTATGTATGTATGTATGTATGTATGTATACTACGGGTGTAATATAGTCTTGTACAGTATAATACAGTATAGCATAGTACAGCACTAAAAAGGAATATATATATATGTATATATATATATACACTACTACTACAATAACGCATTATCTTCTATCCTCTCATCTTCTAGAATATGATGAAATATCATCTTACACCGCATGATTATACAACACGAAATTCTGTACTGCATATATTACATTACATGTTGTGTCGGTAAAAACTGTATCATATCAAAACATGCCAAATCGCTGTGCATTACATTAACTGAGTTTATATTGTACTACACACTATTGTATTATACAGTGTTATGTTAGGTTATGCTATACTATGACATACTATATTCTATTGTACTACTATTTTACATTACACTGTAACCTATTGTGAAATACTGAACTATAGCATCTCGTATTATAAGGTACCGCACTAGATTATTATGTTATATTGCATGACATTGTATTTTACTATCTTTATTATGCCATTTTCTAGTCTACTATATTCAAGCAAACTATGCGACCATATAGCATACTACAGTTTACTTTACCACAGCACAGGATAGTATTGTACATCTTCCGAGTTGCCGATGCTAAATCCTTACTATACAGCCGATATAACGTGCGCTTAAAAAGCGCTCTAAGGGTGTCCCAGCGTCTTCGTGATGCCGTCCGAGCCGGAGTTCTCTTTGACGCGGCCACGGAGGTCCATAAACCTTCCCAGAAATCACTTTAAGGGCTCCTCTGAAGGTTCCTGAAAGGTTACTACATGGTCTCTTTTAGGGTCCTTTTTTGAAGGGTGCCGTGCTATTTGGGGGACCTTAAAGGGGACCCTAATTTAGGGAACTACCCATATAGTAGAAGCCTCAAAGCTGGAAGCGCATTAGCCTCCATCCTTGGGAGTCATGTATAAGGAATCCCAGCACTGCTTGTCCTCAATCCGGTTTTCTAACCTTTTTGGGATTTGCTATAATTATTGTCTAGGGGGTTTCGTAGGGTTTAGGGCTCAGAGGTCCTTGCCAAAATCCCTCAATTCAGAAACATGGCTCAAATCAGAATGAGGATCCTCTGTAGGTTAAGTTACCCTAAACCCTGAACCCTAAACTTGTACTGCTCAATGAAGAACTTGGGGAGTCTCTGAATCCACACGTCTTGCAGGATGGACATAGGCCCTGCGTGACCATCTGTGGTTTGTTAGGATCCTGGGATGATTTGGGGACCGAATTCCATGGCAGGCCGAGCGCGTTTAGACTTGAGGGGGTCGGGGTTCGAGGTGGTTTGGGTTTAGGGTTTAGGGCGGTTCAGCTTGGAGTGGGCTTAGGGTTTCGAAGCTTATAGGGTTGGGTGGCTGAAGTCTACGGAAGCTAAGGGCATAGACTTCTCCAGCCCCAAACCCGAAACCCCTAAACACTTGTTTTGGGGTTTCGCGTTTCGGCTTGGCAAAAGCTCTTGGGTAGTTCTCAATGGTTCTCAAAATTTGGGTCCCTTTTAAGTCTCTAGGGCACCCTTTTCTTAAAATGGACCCTAAAAGGGACACTAATCTAGAAAACTACCTGTATAGAACCCGTATATATGAACCCCTCATAGATCCGTTGAAGGAACCCCACAAAGGACCCTAAAAGGGAGCCCAATTTAGAGAACTACCCTTATAGAACCCTTATGAAAACCCTTATAGATCCCTTTAAGGAACCCGAAACAGAACCCTAAAAGGGACCCTAAGTAAGAGAACTACCCTTTTAAGACTCTCAACGACTGAAGATTGGGGTTCCAAAGCGACTTTGAGTTCGAGCTCTTCAAGTTATTTATGCGGCTTGGGTTTAGGGTTTTGGGTTTTGGGGTCTAGCCTTAAAGTAGCCATCAGAAGGGCTTGGGAGGTGGGAGTTTTTGGGTGTGGGGTTTAGCGGTTTCGGGGGTTTAGGGGTGTTGCGCTTGATTTGGGATTGCTTAGGGCATCAGGCCTGTACTTCTCAAGGGATGTGGTTTTGTGGTCGCTGGTTGGGGCTTATAAGGGTTTATGCTTCGAAGTGGCACAAGGTTCAGGTCTTGTAAGTTTTTGGCTTGATATCCGATACGGCTTATGCTTGTCTTTGTCTCTGAGGCGGAGCAGTGGACTTTGTCTGTCTAGCTTAAGGACGTCCAGGGATTGCAGGGTGCCAACACCAAAGCCCAATCGCGCTTCGAAAAAAAGATAGATTGCCTGTGAGACAAGGCTATATCTATACCATTTACAAAACTCCATACATACCTAAGCCCTCAGCCCTGAAACCCCCAAAACCCCATGGAGAAGCTACAAAAAGGCATTAAACCCCTTCCTGGGCGCCCCCTAAACCCTAAACCCTAATGGACACCTAAAAGCAGCGTTTCCTGGGAGCCCCGGGCGCGCTGCTGTAGGTCAGGAGCCGGGCGGAGAACCCCTTAAGAGCTTCCGCGACGTTCACTTCCTGCGGAAGATTGGATGACGGTTTAGGGTTTAGGGGTTTAGGGCTTTAGGGTTTAGGGGTTTAGGGGTTCAGGGTTTTAGGGCTTTACGGGTTTAGGGGTTTAGGGTTTTAGGGTTTAGGGGTTCAGGGTTTCAGGGTTTAGGGGATGGGCTCCTCTTTTTCTTTGGGAACTCCTTAAGTCGAGGGTTTCAGGGTTCCCGTCAAGGCTCCATACGAGTTCATGTGGGGTTTCAGGGTCTGTCGGCTTTAGGGTGAGGGTGTAGTTTTTGGGTTGAGGGGCGCTTAGAGAGTTTGTTTCGGTCCTCCTCGGATTCTGCCAGGTTCCGTAAGCGTGTTTTGGTTTGGGGTGGAGGCGGAACTTCGAGTTTGGGGGTTCAGGTTCGACAAATCCTCCGGCTTGCGAATCTACGCGCCAATCCCAAAGCTCTTTTCCCCCTCCCCCGGCTGAGAAAGAGCCACCCTGTACTCTTTCTTTTAAACCTTTTTTGACCCAAACCAGCACGTTTCAGTACCCTCCCTCTCTAGGCCCAAACCTTGAAACCCCAAAGCCTTCCAGCAGCAAACATCAGTCGGATCCTGAGACACCTCCACACAGACCCTTAAAATTTAGGAGTTTAGGGTTTAGGGTTTAGGGTCCCTATGTCGTACTCCCTAAACCCCCAGCGGTGCTAATCCCAAAAGCGCTCATGTCGAAACTTCCAAGGCGAAGCCGAAAAAGCAACACCCACAAATGCCAACGATACCTTTCATCATACGTTAACACCTGTGACTATTCAAAAAGCGGTAGTCGTAACATCGTAAAGCCAGAAACCCTGAATTCCTAAAACGTCGAAACTCAAGATCAACTTACGAGTAAGATCTTCTTCGACGGCTTCCCGGGCTTCTGGTTCGGATCACAATCTACGTCTACATCGAAGCCTCAACTCCTGGACGGGTATATCTATGAAGGGAGCCAACAAAGGGGAGCTCTATCACTAGTCAGCTCTTGGACCCAAAAGAAACCCTGGAAAAGCCAATAAACCCGAAACAGCCAAAGCCGGTGGCACCCCAACAGCAAACGACAGCGCCGGATGCCGACAAGCCTGATGAACCACAGCCCTGTAAATGCTGGAGAGGGTGCCCAGGAAAAGCATGCAGAACCTGATGCTTTGGGTTTAGGAGCTAGGGTTTAGGGTTTAGGGTTTCAGGGTTTAGGATCTAGGGTTTAGGGATTAAGGGCTTAAGGGCTTAAGGGTTTCAGGGTTTAAGGGTTACGGGTTTAGGGTTTTATGGTTTAAGGGNNTTAGGGTTGATGGTTTTGGGTTTAGGATCTGTGGTTTTGGGGGTTAGGATCTTGGGCTACCGCTGGCTCTCCTGATGTCAAAGGTTCGTGAGTCACATCTCGAGGGCGCATGAACTACCTCTTGAGCTCTTGCTTCACCCGTTTAGGGGCTCAGGGTTTAGGGT